TCCTCCTCCTCCTCCTCCTCCTCCTCCTCCTCCTCCTCTTCCTCCTCTTCCTCCTCCTCCTTCTCTTCTTCTTCTCTTCATCTTTTTATCTCACTCATGGCACAGAACATAAGCAAACCAAAGATGCCAGGCTTTCTGTATTGTTCCTAGTTACCCAAAAGTACAAAACACAAGAGAGGTCCATTGTCAGTGGGGACCATGGAGTACTGGAGAGCATCACCATGATAACAGCATGGGATCAGATCTCAGCTCTGTGCAAAAGCTCCTACTTGGCAGTAGAAGATGGTCTCCTCCAGAAACAGAGTTTGTCAGGTGCCAACTAACTAGCTTTTGGGAGCTGGGAAGGTTCCAGGGACCTGAGAAACATGCTGAGGTGGGAAACTTCATCAGCAGAGCCAGCCAGTCAAAATCTCCTTGAACACAGGGAATTTGGTGTGACACACTGTCCCAGGAGACCAATTTTCTGAACAATATTACAACCCTGGTGAGTCACAGAAACTCAGTTGCCATCTTGGTGAGTAAACAAAGCATCGGTGGGTGAAATGGATGAGAAGTAGAGGGAAGTTGTGGGGTCAGCCTGGCTCAGGGGCTGCCCAGGGAATTACTCATTCAGTTCACCATGTCTGCTCTTTCATGCTAAGATGCTCCCATGGCCACATCCTGTCTCATTCATGTAAACTCCCCCAACACAATCCTCACTCCTTTGCTCAGAGGGAGGTGATGTACTTTGCTGTTCTTACCTCCCAAGTAGCAGCTTCCTCCTGTTGAAGTCTCTGTAATCATGGCCAAAACAAGCAAATAAGCAAAATATCCATATTGTAATTAATTGGTTTAGGTGCATTTTAATATATCTTTACAAAGGTTTTAGGATGGTTCTTAAGGTGATGGTTTGTCATTGTCTATTGCCAGAGGGTGTTTCTTGGTGACACGTGAAGACTGGCCTCAAATGAGTAACAGAAACCCTGTCCTCCTAAGAGCCCGCTGACACCTGCTTCTGTTCTACAGACCATCTGAGCCACAGAGGCCGGAGGGAGGAGCCTCACTGCAGTTACTGGCATCTGCTTTGGTGCTTAATAGTAGGATGTGACATTTGGAGGTGTCTGAGTGGCCTTTATCCCATCTTGCCACATTCTCATTGTTCATGGAAAGAGTGAACAGAGAACTTCCCAAAGAGAGTCCTGGATCCCTAATTTTAAGAATGACTTTGTTTTCCTCTTACCTAACAGCCTTCACGATCAACGTTTAGATAACCCATCTCCACATACTGACAGAGACTTATGTGTCTAAAATTAATCATGCTGGGACTTTAGAAACAAAAACATGGCTCCCTTTTCATTGGTAAATCCTATGTAACCTCTGTGTCATGTTCATGACATTTTAAAGTTCTACCTTGTTTGTTGAAACTGAGATTTAACTTTGTATTTTCGATGCCATATTGGTCATTGTTTCTTAAATTTTAAAAATCTTTGTTTAAAAGAATCAAACATTTGTGATGAAACTGTTACTGTCCTATTTTCCTATTGACTGCCTAAGGGGAAGCAGGTAGTTGGTTACATCACTGTCCAAGCTTCCTCTTTTCCAGGCACACATTTCCTGTGAAATAAAAGCCCAACATCCCATGTCAGAAGTGGGATGCTGCTGCAGCTGAGCTCAGCTTTGGGAATGTGTCTCCATTCTGGAACTTGTCTCTGTGTGGCTTACTATTTGGGTAATGTCTTGTTTTCGTGATTCTTCACACATGATTTTCATGTGAAGAAGATAGTGCAGAGGGCCAATAAGGAAGAAAAGGCAGTGTGCTTGTCTGAAAACTGAGATGAGCAAAAGGAGGGGCTAGAACCTGTGACTGAAACAAAGGCAGATCCTGTGGACCCTTGGGTTCTGATAGTTTGCTCTCCCGGATTATGAAGACCCCACATTGAAAGTTGCCTCCCGATGACCTCCAGGAGGAGCTGGATGGGAGGAGTCCTCCCACCGTGGCTGAGAACTCTTCCAGCAATGCTCGCCAGAGGGTGCTCGCTCATCCTGTGCTTCTTCGTTTGCAGTTGCTGCAGTGTTAGGTATGCGATGCAAACCACCTGTTGGGGTGGGGATGTAGCTCAGTGGTAGAGAACTTGTCTCATGTGGAGGAAGCCCTGGCTTTGATCCACAGCACTGAGAAAGAAAATGGAAAATGCTCATCAGCAGGACACTAACAGGGAGACTCTGCCACATACTCCTTACTTAAGTATAACTGCGGTCAGTTTTGACAGAAACCAAAGAATTTCTCAAAATTTCAAACCTGCAGACTTAGATGGCAAAGGGGGATTCATGTGATGTGGTGGATACCCTGCTTCTAGGCCTTTGGAATATTGTTATATTTTCACCAACTATTCCAGCAGAGGAAGGTCTGAGGGACATTGAGGGTGTTGAGTATATACAGTTCAAGCCACCAGCCACCACATGTCCTTGACTGAATATTTACAAAAGTTGCTAGTAAGTGAGAGTAAACTCTGATGCAAGTGCTTGGAAAAGTCACTGTAGCAAAACCAAGGGGAGGCATGGTAGCAATTCAGGGTGGATCCTCAATTTAGGATTTCCTCCCCACATAGATCATGTTTCCTGTGGGTTACCTGTCAAGCATGGTTGGTGAAGCTAATATGATTTTGTTTCCTAGTGTTCTGGAAGGCCACTTTCCCTACATACACATATGCTCCATTAGAAGGCAGCATGTGGGCCAGCATCACCTCTGGGCAGCAGTGTTGTGTGAATCTTGCCTGCTCTGACCTCCAGGGTCTTCCTTTAATCCATTACATACAATGCAAATCTTCTCGGATCAGCTCCCTTCCTATTCTTCCCTCCCTGCCTGCCCTGGTGAGTTGAGTGACAGCTAAGCAGCCCCTCCTACTTTGGCCCTCTCTTAGTGTTGTGATCAACTGTCCTGTCCAATGCCCACCACCGGGGCTGGTATTTTCCACTTCAAACTTGGACTTCTTGGTGGTTTTTCTATTTACTTTCTCTTTCTCCTCCTTCTCTTCCTCCTCTTCTTCATGAGCTAAATGCCAGCTATGGTACAGGTTTGGAATTAATATCTTATCTTTCTACTTGGAAGTATTGAATAAGTATTTTTGACTATTGATCCCTCTTACTATCCTACACACCCTGTATGTGGTAGCCATAGCTCTTGCCATGTCAAAGATGAACAGCACATGGGAGGAGCTGGGAATGTTACAGAAATGCTACAGGGCATCTTTCAGGGGACTCTCATTACCCCTGGCTTTTTGCCTCATGCATTTAAGTGCATGGGAAGAAATGAAGCATTCAAATCACTGGAGAAGAATAAAGAGGCCTTCCACCTTTGTGCAGGCCAAGCTTTTGGTCATATCTATAATTCTCTGTCAGCAATCCGATAAACCATCCCATTGAGTCACACTTGTGTTTCTTTTGAGCATGGATTTATAGCCTGCCATTGTAGATTAAAAATCCATTAAAATCTATAAGAACAGCAAAAGTTACACATTCCTTTCTCTGTAGTAAAGATTTTCCTCAAAGATTTTACATTAGAACTTTGTGAGTAAGCATTGATATTAATAGGCCATTTTAAAGTGAAATTTGGACTGCCCTTAAGCTGTGGTAGACCCGACAATGAGGAGCTTCTCATACACTGCAAGACTGAATTTTGGACAGATGACTAAGACACAGTTGATTTTTTTCCTCACATGTCAGAAAAACAATGCAAGACTCTATTAGCAACCAGCAGACAGCCTCAAGGTAAGTGGTAATGAGGAGAAGCGGTGGGGACATTCAAGGAAGGGTGATAATAGAAAGAATGTCCAAGTAATTGTTCTTAGATCGCAAGAAAAATGAACTGAAGGAAAGGTGAGAGATCGGGCCAGAGATGGAAATTTAAACTAATATATAGATAAACACTGGCAAAAAAACCCCACCATATCCAGTATTGTAAAAACAACCCAGGAAGGGAGTATAGGAAGAAAATGCCCTCTGTCTGTCCAAATCGTTGCTTTTCTCTGATGTACTACTTTTCATTCCTGGGTATAAACGAACCTTCACTCTCTTGGCAGTTGATAGTCAATAGTTAAAGAGTTGTATTTGGAGCTCAGAAGCCATGGGGGAGAACACAGTTCTCCCTGCTGTCCATCCAGGCAACATGCCACCACCTTATCTCAATCAATTGCAGTAATAAAATATACTATTAAATATTTCCTAGGAGTGGCGGGGAGATCTTGCTCAGCATGTAGAAAGCTCTGGAATTGGTCCCTAATACCACGTACATTGGTTGTACTAGCATACTTTCCAATCCCAGCATTCAGGAGGTGGAAGCTAGATTATCCATAGTTTAAGGTCATCTTCAGCTACATAAGGAGTTTAAGACCAACCTGGACATAAAATCCATAGCAACTGTGGGGTAGCTTTTTCTACTAGATGTGTAGGCTCTTCTGATCTACCAGAAATAAAAGCTGTGACGTAGCATTCTTGAGATGGGGATGACCATGTGTGTTCTTAAGCTTCATGTCTCAGGAATGTGACCCACTATGTGCTCAAACCAGTTTGATCCCTTCCCCATCCTCCTCTTTCTGTATGTCCTTCCACTCCGTTTTCAAGTCTCAGCGATTCTATACCTCAGAATTTCTTTGGACATGTCACCTTTTGATTTTATTTTTTGTCAATTCCCCTATTTCTGATGACATGATGACATTCTGTGTTGCTGTTCTTGTGGAATCTCCTTGAGCAATAAGATGCACACAGCCACCGGGCGGTGGTGGCACACACCTTTAATCCCAGCACTCGGGAGGCAGTGCTAGGCAGATCTCTATGAGTTTGAGGCCAGCCTGGTCTAGAGAGCAAGATCCAGGACAGGCACCAAAACTACACAGAGAAACCTTGTCTCAAGAAACAAACAAAACAAAACAAAACAAAACAAAACAAAAAAAGAAAAAGAAAAGAAAAGAAAAAAGAAAAAGTAAAAGAAAAATAAAAGAAAGAAAGAAAAAGAAAAAAATAATAAAAAGATGCACACAGCCATTAGTCCCTAAAAGTCCTGAGTATGAAGCCGGAATCCATTTCTTACAATTCCCCCATTGCAAATACATGGCTCATCCGTCTAGGAAATATTAGGTAGTTCCCCCTGTGTGCCAGACCTTGTGTGGTACTTTGGAATACAATGCAGACACATAATATTAACAATGAGCACTATTTAAAATAGATTCCAGTGGGGTGGGCACTGTCCAGTTGTTTCATGTATGTTTCCTTTAATCATCGAAACAGGTTTTTTTTTTTTATTGCTAATTAACCCTCCTCTATGCTAAGGAAATCACTGTGCTTTGGAGAGATAGTCACACAGATAAGAAGTTCCACTGCAGGGTTCAAACCTAGGCAGTAGATTTTTAATACCTGTTCAGACAGGCATTCTGCTTTATTCTTGCCTGAAACATCAGCATCAGACACAATCTGCAGTTTATGAAACTTTGAGGCCAGCTGGGGAGCCATATTTCAAGCAAGAATAAAATAATCCTGTAAGTGCTATGAGGAAATGAAGAGGCTACCTAGCAGGATGGTAGACATGAATAGATTAGACATGCTGCGTGGGTTCGTGTCTCCTAGCAGTGTGATTGGAACTCAAAAAAAGTCTAGTTTAAATATGGACAAAAGGGATATCTAATAACAAATGTTTGTGTTGTCACCTTATATTTTAGTATTAGAATATGGTTCATAGATTCTTTATGGAAGAAATCTCTTATATTAAGGGAATTAGAACCTAGAAATTTGGATTTTTCCCTAATAATTCTTATATTAGGAATGGTCGCACTGAATTAGATTTATGTACATCATCTATCTTTAGGGGGTTTAGAGAAAGCTCCGCATCTGCGGTGAGGAGAGAAAAGCTTCCATGCATTTTTTTTTTTTTTTTTGGCTCCATCTACAACAACAAAATCCTAATTTGGATAACTAATATGCTTAAGTATTCTCAGAAAAGGGTGATAATATATGAGAGCTGCTGGGTTGTTCCCACAAATCATTGTGCTTTACAGCCTTGATTTTGAAATATGTGGACTGGTGTGTGATTTATGCTGCCGGTGTTTCTTGTGTGTACTTAAGTATTCTTGCTTAATGTTATTAAATAAGCCCGAAGCTACAAATGGGCCTCCCTGAATCAGGACATTTGGCAGAGGCCTCTCCCTAAATTATGACCTGTATCCTTTGAAGGATGTCCTTTGTGGTCCACTCACATCTTTCTACTCTTTACCTGTCATTTGCTGAAAACTATTTTCCATGTTTTAATGACTGTTATCCATAAATGTGGTGGGCAATATTCATAATAGGCTTTCTAGCTGCAAATTTGGTTGGTTTGTAAGCTGCAAGTTGGTTTTCTTCTTTTCTATTTTTGAGACAGGGTCACATGTAGCCCAGACTGGCCTTGAACTTGCTATATAACCAAGGACAGCCCTGAATTTCAAATTTTCCTGCCTCCACCTCCTGAGTGCTTAGATTCCAGCTGTACACCACCACGTCTAGTATGTGCTGTTGGGAGTAACGCGAACACTCCTTGCAGTCTAGCCTAGCACTCTACCAGCCGAGCTACCTATGTCCTCAACCCATTTGACTAGTAACCGAAGTCGTTTTAGTTTTCATTTTTGTTGTGATAAAATCTGAGCAAGACCTTAGGGGACAAAGCTCTTTGCTAGTTCACAGTTCAAGTTTCCAGTCATCACTAGGGGAGGTCAAGGCAGGGACCGTAAGCAGCTGGTCACAGCCACCATCGGAAGCAGAGAGGGACGGTCAGTGCGCCGAGGCCCTTTGCTTGGATGGTGATCTCTTCCCTTACACGGTTCAGGGACCCAACCAGGTAGCGGTGCCACCCACCTTCAGGTATGTCTTCCACAAAATCGTGCAGTCTGTGCAATCCCACACAGATGTACCCACTAGCTAGCTCAGTCTAGATAATCCCTTATTGGGACTCTCTTCCAAGCTGATTCTAGGCTGTGAAAAGTTGACAGTTAAAACTAACCATCTTAGCCTTCAAAATGGCAAAGTTTGTATGCATTCCCTTTGGACAGTAGTCTTTAGGCGGTAAAGACTTACACACGAAACCTTTTTAAGTTTTATTACTTATCAAGTCTGTCCTGAACTTTCAACCCTCCAAAGACAAAGGAGCTTCTTCTTTGCATCTCTGCCTTCTAGAATGTAGCTCCTCATTTGGTAGACGTTATAAAATATGAAGAAACAATAATATTAACTCATGTATTTGAGTTGTTTATTCTGTCCAAGGAACTGTTCTGGGCTCTCTCCATTACTGATTGTTCCAATTGTTACTAAAGCTCAATGAGGCAGGTGGGACCTTGTGGAAAAAAGAGGGAGCTGAGGCACAGGATACTTAAAAAGTTTCCTCATGATGCACATTAGTTAGAGATGGATACATTAAAACAACAAAAAGAAGTAGAAACCAGACAGGATCTAAGGCTGTTGACTGTGTATTACTTTTCAGCCATTAATTTAAATGGAGTCATTTACTCTGGTTATTCTTAGTGACCATAAATTTAAACAGAATTGGTTGGCAAAATGTTGAGCTACAAGGTGAGATGTTTAAACAGTGAACTCATGAATAAGCACTCATGGCATTTTGGTGAAATCAGCCCTAAGTGGGGAATCCAACAATAAGGTCAGTTTCTAGAGTGAATGTTAAAACTTACAACTTGACTCCTTCTCCTCATGTTGTTTAAGTGGACCAACCTTTCCTCACATAGCAAGGAACAGTGCATCTGTATACAAGTGTGTGTGTGTTTGAGTATGTGTGCGTGCATGGGTGAGTGAGAGTGTATGAATGTGTGTATATGAGTGAATGTGTGTATGAGTGTGTGTCTGAATGAGTGTGTGTGTCTGAGTGAGTGTGTCTGAGTGAGTGTGTGCATGGGTGACTGTATGTATGAGTGAATACATAGCTATGTGCTATGAGTAAGTGTGTCTAAGTGTGTGTGTATATGTGTGTGAGTATGTATGCATGACTGAGTATGTATGACTCTGTGTGTGTGTGTGTGCTTATGGAAGTCAGAGAACAACTTTCATAAGTTGGTTCTCTCTTTATCATGTCGGACCAAATTATCCCTACTGAGGTATCTCACTACCCATTCCATAAAACTTGAAATGAAATAATTTCTGTAATTTGTAAGGAGTTATAGTTTATCTTAACCTTATACTTCCTCATTTTTTTGCATGAAGGAAAGAAAATAACAAAGAAACTAAAAAAAGAAGAGCCTGAGAAAATGGATTATGGTTTCTGTCAGCAGCAGTTATAAAAGGACCTCTGTCTGCTAAGAGATTATAAACTTGCAGAATTGACTAGATAGGATGCTATAAAATGTCAAAACTCTAAGCGTATACTTACACTTAACATTTAGAACCTCAGTTACAGACATTATTCTTTTAGTGATTTCCCAGGCAGTCAAGTTAACTATCTTTGTAACATATTCATATGTTTCCATTTGTGTTGTGTGTATGTATTAACTTTTTGTTACTGTAACAAATACCTGAAACAACTTACCTACAAGGAGAAAAAGTTTATTTGTACTCACAATGTTAGAGATTCAAGTCCATCTTGTATGTGTTTCACAGTGAAAATAGTTACCCTATGTCAATGACTCAGAAAAAAAAGAAAAAGAGATAAGAGCCTCATAATCTACTCTGTGGGTGTAATAGTTTTGACAGTTTGACACAACCCAATGACCTAACGACTTCCCATCAATCCAAAAATCTTAAAACTTCTACCACCTCACAAAATGCTACACCAGAGAGCATGCCTTCCAGATGTGGACTTGTCAGAGATCCCTCAAGATATAAAATATAGTGAGAGGGAACAGGAAAGATGGAGGGAGAGAGGGAGACAGGAAGAGAGGGTGAGACATAGACAGGGACAGACAGAGACAAAGGGAAAGGCAGAGACAGACAGAGAGACATGTACTTGCCAAGGGAGCCAGAAATCTCAGTGATTTCCCCATCTTGGTTTCATTTGATACTAGTTTACACTTTTGAAGCTTGATTCATGAGGAAGAGGCAAAGAAAGACTCAGAAGATGGCTTTTGACTGTGTCATAGAATTGTGCCCTCCTCTCTCCTTAAATGAGAGATTATTAATTTAGTGGATACCACAGAATCCTTAGCTCATGGTTAAAGGCACTTATAGGAAGACACAATTTTCATGAAAAATGATAATAAGCATGTCTCCTAGCCTTCGGTTCATTTGTTTTTCTGTTTTCTAGACACTGTTCAGTTATGTAAATAGAGTTTGACATTGCTAAATATTGATTTAGCTCATGGTTTAAACAGCATTCATCAGTTGTATTTCACATTCTGTGATAACATTATTTAGATTTAGGAGCACACTGATATTATGTATATGTAACAAACCACTTTTGCTAAATTATTTTTCTGTGTAGAGTTTATTTAAGTCTCACCTGTTTCATGTTGGTTTTTATTAAGTTTTATTTCTGAGGTGGTGTGTTTCGAGGTGGTCCTTCAGTTCTCCTCTTGTAAAAGGTGTTGTGTAGGGAAACATGGCCGTTGAAGACAGATACACTTGCATGAAGAAACCACCTAAGGATATCGAAGTGACACTTCATCTCTTACTATGTGCCCATCTACCATAGATTAAAACTGTTTCATAGAGGAGTATACAGGACACCAGCTGTGCATCAGAGCATCAAAATGATCTAATTACACTATACATATGCTTCTTACAAGGAAAGCAATACTTTTTAAAATTGTGGGCTTTAAAAAAAAAAGTTTTGGGAGAGGACCAAATCTGGTCTACTCGATGCTTTAACATCATCTTTAAAGTACCAGCACCTTCAAACACCAGTGATGCTCCAGGGAAGATGGCAGAGCCCTCTAACACCAGAGCATGGAAGGCAGAAACAGCAGCTATTAGAAGATTACAGCCAGCCTGGGCTACATAGTGAGGTGGAGACTAGGCAGAGCTACATTGTGAGACTGTGTCTCAAAACAGACAACAAAATAAAAATATAGGCATGCATGTATATTCTAGCTCACAGCGTGTCTGAAAAAACCAGAGTAGCGCTGTCCCTTTTGTGGGGAACAGTCATTCAAATTACTTCTCTAGACCCTTGCACATCGTGGGCTCTTACTACTCCGTCCCTTTCTCATTGACTGTATTTCATTCTGTTATGAGGTCTGGGAAGACGGCTCAGTTTGTCAAGTGCTCAGCGTACAAGCGCGGAAACCTGAGTTCCATCCCCAGAAGAGCCTCTTTGAAGGGCCAGGTGTGGTGATGCATTTGTAATCCCAACACTGAGGAAAGAGACAGGCTATGGTCTTGGGAACTGCTGGTCAGCCAGCTGAGCTGAATAAGCAGGCTCCAGATAAAGAGGGACCATGACTCAAATTGGGGAGGGTATCTCAAAAGAAAGAAGCCTGAAAAGTGGAGAGTTACTGAGGTTGACGTCTGAAGTCCACATATATGCAATTACATGTGTACATGTACCACCTAACACACATCTACTGCCACACACACACATGTTCACTTGTGCATGAACACACACAGATAGAACAATTGAGTCTGTATTAAAATAAATATTTGTTGTACTTAATTTCCCTCTGGTGTACACATCATCTATCTCCTGTCTAGCTCTTGTCTTGGTAATCTGTAGTGACCATACTGTCCCCTGACTCAATTTGAAGATGACTAAATATTGTGATGCTGGATCGTCCATAAAGACACTGTCACAGTGACTCTGAGCCACAGGGACACTCAGTACTGTTGATTGATGACTGATTCTCACATAGCCTTTTCAGTACCATAGCCCTTGTCTTGGACTGCCTCAGAGTTTAGTGGGAATTTCACACCATTTGTAAAATTAAAGGCCTACGTTTGTCCTTGAGACAAATGGCAAAGCTGGTTAGGGTTGGTTTTAATCTGGTGTTTTGGCAAGGATCCCATGGGGACACACAAATTAAAACATAGTCCCAGGTCAATTATAGCAGTGTGTCTTTTGAGTGGGAAAGCCTCAGTGGCTGGTGTGACAGGAGCTTGGTGACCCTGCTGAGTGTCATTAATTTTATTGTCCTAAGCGAATAATGAAAATTGGACCTATTGTTTGGCTTTCAAACTAAAATTGTACACCATTATCTAGATGAACGGCATCTGAAGAGCCCCCCACAGCATGCAGTCAGGAGAAAGAGTTGAACAAAGTGAGTTTCTTAATATAGAAACGATTCTTAAATATGAAAATAGAAGCATTGCTGTGAGTCCAAAACATAGGATTCAGTGAGAAAGAAAACCATGGCGATAGGAAGTGTGGAGTTTGTTTCTGGAGTGCTCTAACACTCAGGGCATGTGAACATCAGTGTAGGCAGTCGGTAGAAAGCACAGAGTGGATTTAACATAACAGCTCACTGGTATTTTAGTAGGGTCTTTATGATGACTCTGCTGGGTGACCTCTCTACCCAACAGTGCAGTGGTTAAAAGGGGTCTTTGGAATTAATTAGCTTTAATGCTCAATTAGCCAATTAGGGGTTCCTAAGCAAGTTACTTAACCTCTAGCTTCCCTTACTTTCCTCAGCTAAAAAATGGGGTGATGCTAACGTTTCTGTCCTCATGATCATGGTCCTCTGACCAATGAATGGGACAATGATTCTAAGTCCTTTGTCCATGGGAGGCTGTCACCCGTGCTGGGGTGGGCTTTGGTAATGTGGCTGTCTTGGCGTCATTTTTGCTCCTGTTAGTGACCTCTCACTCATATTCCTATAAGTAACCCTGAGAAACCTCATTGACTCTGGTGGTATCTGCATACTGGTCTGTTGTAGGCTCCGTATCTAGGGTGAATAGATGTGTCTGTGTGAGAGACAATTTATGAAGAGGCTTGTCTCTGCTGTTTTATCATAAAAGCAGAACACTGATGTAAATGCTTAGTGATTCTGTTCACTGAGAAACATCGCTCAAGGCAAGAAACACCCGCTCAGATTTTGTTCTGTGCTCTTTCTTTTTTCCCTGTATCTGCAATAGCAATGGATACGATCTCAGTGAAAACTCCCAAGACTCCTTGCAACCCCCAAATAATAATGTCCTCTGGAGTTGGCACAGTGAGAGAGGAGGTCAGTGTAGCTGGAGAGTTTTCTCTCCGGGTCCCGCCAAACCCTGGCAGTCTGACAGCCCACTTATAAAATAAATACACAGGCACCTACATTGTTTAAACTGTTTGGTCTAATGGCTCAGGCTTCTAGCTGTCTAGTTCTTACATCTTAAATTAATCCATTTCTATAAATCTATACCTTGCCACATGGCTCGTGGCTTACCTGCATCTTCACATGCTGCTTGTCATGGTGGTGGCTGGCAGTGTCTCCCTCTACCTTCCTGTTCTCTCAATTCTCCTCTCTGTTAGTCCTGCCTATACTTCCTGCCTGGCTACTGGCCAATCAGTGTTTTATTTATTGACCAATCAGAGCAACACATTTGACATACAGACTATCCCACAGGTCAGCTCTCTGTTAGGCTTTCTGAGTAACTCCCCAAATGTGGTGTATTGGGCTGGGGAGATGGCACTGTAGTTGCGAGCACTGGGTACTCTCACAGAGGACCCGTGTCAGATTCCCAGCACCCACCTGATGGCTCACAACCACTTGTTACTAATTCCATAGAATCTGATGCACTCTTCTGGCCTCTCTAGGCTTCTGTACACATGTGGTGCATATAAACTCATGCGGGTTCTCTCTCTCTCTCTCTCTCTCTCTCTCTCTCTCTCTCTCTCTCTCTCTC